TGTAGTGCTTCAAGAAATAGTTGAAGACTCTACGATGGACAGAGAAAACTTCCACCTTTTGCCAACAGAGACAATGACATTAATTTCAGTTCTTGACTGTAAGGGCATGTCCACACATGCAGGCACTTGTGCTTGCAGCAGCTCAAACAGAAGTGGTACAAGTTTTTGCCTCAGTGCACATGCCCGGACATGCACTTTGATGTGGTGCAAGTTGTGCCACTTGAGGCAAAATAACCTTGCTTGGCTCCTCCCAGATCTGCAGCCAGGGGGAGCTAGAGCCTTGGGACAGCACCTGTGCTGGACCCAGCAGTGCAAATAAGCTACCCTGTCCTGGCCCCATCAGTACAGAAAGCTGTCCTGGAAAGTAACTCAGAGTCACTTGCTCTCAAGAGCTTCTGGGGGAGGAGCCTCTGGGAGGAAGTTGGCCATGCCCCTTCCTGTTCCAGGCTGCTACTGATGCTGGTTGCTGCAAGCGTGGTCTCAGGAGCTTCTGGAGAGAAGATGGCCAGGCCCCTTCCTGCCTCTGGCTACTGCTAGCTGCTGGCTTGTTCCCAGAGCTTTTGGGTGTGAGTTGCCCGCACCTCTTCCTGCCTTGGACTGCTGCTGTTGCTGCCCACCACACGCTGCTGCCCCCCACTTGGGGTGGGACACCGCATTGCACCATACCCCAGCAATACATGCCAGCTTCTGCACTCCTGTTCCAGCCTCCTGCCCAGCCCACCGCCAAGCCCACGTCCAGGGACAGCCTGGGGAGGGAGCCTGTGCTGACTGTGGGCCCTTCCCCCACCATCACTGCCGGAGCCTAAAGGTGCCTTGCCTGCCCCAGCTACTCCCTGCCTTCATCTTCACTTTCACCTGAAGCACACCTTGAGTGGCTGAACTTGATGGCTACTACCACCACTGCTGCTGCTGCCCCCTGCTCTGCTCCTGCCCCATCTTAGGAGAGAGGGATATTCCCTGCTGCACCACTTTGCACTGCTATACACCTCACCTGCACTGGATTACTTCCTTAATTGACTGTTGCTTCTGCACTCCCCCACAACTACCTCATCATATCTACTCCTGTGTTTGTGTTCCTGCCTGCTGTCCTACTGCTGAGTGCCTGGCTAGAGGCCTGAGGGGCTTCTGGACTGAGCTTCCAAAAACAAAGCTCCTCTGCCGCTCCAGCCATCTTTCTCATGTGCCTCAGCAGCTCTCCTGTGTGTTTTGCCCTCATGTGGTAAGTCCTGTGGTCCACTCCACCTGCTCTGGTGTTTGTTGTGTGGCTGAGTAAGCCAGGTCGAGTCTCTCTAGCCCCTGTGTACATGTATCTCCTCTCCCCAGCCTTCCCCAAGCATAGCCCACCCAGGTTCTTACTGGATTCACTAGCCCCACTGTATATTTTGCTTTATTTTATTGATTTCCTTTTCCCCTATGTGAATAAATGGTAGGGCAGGACCCTTCTGGTCGGGGAGAACACGCATCCTCTTGGATGCATGCCTCTGCATCCTCCACCCCAGAGGCAGAGTCCAAACGACCTCCTCCAGGGGTAGAGAAGCCTGAGACCTCTGCTGCGGGGCCAGGCAAGACTCCAGCAGGGAACGAACAGGGCCAGGGGATTTCCTTTGGCCAGGCCTCTCCCAGAGGGGTTCCTAAGCCCCTTTTCACACTATCAGGGACCAAGGGCAAGAGAAGCGAGAAGGGCTTCTCTTCAGCCTCCTACACAGCTGGGGGGTGGGAAGGGTAAGGGTCCCACCCCCCACCCTAGACCACTGGCACCTGTGGGGACCAGGTGTGCCACCCCAACCAGAACAACCACTCAGCCTGTCCCTGGCCCTAGTCCCAGTCCCATGAACGCAGCCCCCCAGAGGGGGAACTGCAGCTATGCACAGTCAGCTGCAGGGCAATCAATAGCCACGGAGCCCAGACCCTCCACTGCTGGACCTTCCAGCTCAGGTGGTGGGGCCCCCTTTCTGGCACTCACTGGCAGGCACAGGGTGAAGTGCCAACTGCCCAAGTGGGAGAACCTGCATTTTGAGACCTGGGTGCAGTTCCTGGCTTAGGTAGTGGGAGCCCCCAAGATTGTGGTGGCCTCCTGCTTTCATGGAAAGCGGGTCTTTTTCCTTGCCTCAGAGACTGCCGCACAAAAGACGGTGGAGAGGGGGCTCATGGTGGAGGGTGAGTACGTCCTCCCTCAAGTACCTAGAAAAGCTTGGGACCAGAGTGGTCCTCAGCTCCATCCCACCTTATATCCCCAATTGGGCCCTTCTTCCCCATTTCCAAACCCTGGGGAGAGTTTTCTTCCCAATGGTGGCCCTCTCACCATGTGTGCTCTCTGCCATGTGTGCTCTTTCCATCATCAGGCCATTATCTAGCCGGTGGCAGGAGTGAAGCTGCAGACCGAGGGCTTCCTCCTGATTCCTTTTCAGTGAGCCCTAGTGAGGATTTTCTATAGGGGGGGACCTGTAATGCTTCCAGGGTCATGCCCTGGGGCACTTTCATCATGAGTGCCCCATGGGCCAGGCAGGGATGGCATCTGCAGGTCCCACTGGTGAGAGGGGTGACCCTACCACTGACACCTCTCCTCCCCCAGGCCACCCCACCACCACAGCCACAATTCCCAACCCTCTCATGAGCTCAGGTGGCCCTGCCCACTAAATTTGGTGGCGTCCTGGGGAAGAGGGCAGCAACCAAGGGAGAAGCAGGGCCCCCCACCCCTAGCCATGCCCCTGCTGTAACTTCCCTACCCCACCAACCCTCACCTTCCCCTACTGGAGCCTGTCCACCTGAGGGCCACTCCATGGCTGAGTGGGTACAGGTCCCCTCTGGGCACAAAGCCAAGAGGAAGGCCCGGGCGCAGCTAAAGCCCTCTGATATGGAGGACCCCCCCACACACACACACACACACACACACCATCCCAAGACCATCACATGGGAAGAAGGAGTGGCTCAGTTCTGGGGGCTTCCCCAGCTGTGCCTGACACCTCACCCCCAGGAAAGATTAAAAGAGTTATCCTAGTGGAAGAGGCTTCGGGGCTGCTAGACAGTCCCAAACAGGAGCCCAGGGAGGAAGCCCCTCACTCAGCTGGTGACCACAGGACCACGGGCGCAGAAGCTGAGGCCTCAGCCCACCCAAAAGAAGGCCCAGCAGCAGAGCCCTCCCCCTCTGATGATCTGAAGGAGATGGGGGCCCTGGGGCTCACCCTGGTGAGTCCTGAGGGAGATCCCCTTTCCCAGGACCCTGAGGCAGACACCAAAGCCACTCCAGTGTCTGACAGGTCTCTTCCCTCCCCCTCCCAGAAAAACCTCACTTCCAACCTGCCCCATGGTCCTGCACCAGAGTGGGTGGGGGTGGGGGTGCTCTGATTAACAAGCTGATCTTGTTGGGGACCCCGTGCAGACCCCCCAAACTCCAGTTCTACCCTACCATCTTGTGAAGTAGCCCCACCCTTACCCCTGTCCCAAGGGGCTGCAGAGCTCTCACCATTCCCAACCAGAGTTTGGGGTCTTAGCGGACCGGGGGGATCAGATAGTGCCTAAGAAGCCCTCTGAGCCCCAGGACCAGGAGGTGGACACCCAATAACTAGCAGGCTCCATGGAGCCTGCGGACCTCTCAATCTTTGTGGTCCCCAGAGGTGAGCTACTTGCATTTCTTGACTGTGAGTACACCTGGTGGTCTACCAGCAAGGTACAGCTTGTCTTGGACCGCTGGAGAGATTTTGACAGCATCCTTGCCACTGCGAGGGTGCTGGTGGGGGAAGGCAAGGAACCCAAAAGCTGCAATGCTCAGATCTATAGGCAGGCCTTCAGTTTCATAGATGCCCTCTATACTTATGGGAGGGTGCTACATGAGTCGACAACCCCCAGACCGGGCGTTGAGATGCGCGAGGCCCCTCCTGAACTCTCCACTCCACCCTTCTGGACATGAGGTCATTTAAGATCATGATCTTCAATGTCCATGGCTGCAGGAAGCCTCTCTGGAGATGCTGGGTGCTCTCCTTCCTTCAGGAGGGGGGTACCCCATGGTATTCTTTCAGGAGACCATGACGACTATGGCCGATGAGTCTAATTGGCAACTGAAGTGGAGAGACAGGGTCTTTTTAGTTACCTCTCAGCCACCTCTTGTAGGGTGGTCACCCTGTTCTCCCCAGGCCTGCAGCCATAGGTTCTTTAGGACATTGAGGTAGTGCCGGGCCACCTGCTGCACCTCCGGGTCCAAGTGCAGGGGCTGGTTCTGAACCTTCTGAATGTGTACGTCCCGCAAAGCACCCAGAGTTGGCAGACTTTTTCCACCAGACAGCCACTTACGTTGAAACCGTCAACCCTTGTGAGTGCCTGGTCTTTGGTGAGGACTTTAACGTCACCCTAGATGTGTGAGACCGGTAAGGCAGGGAGCAGAACCAAGCCACTGTGGGTGTCCTTGGGGAGATCCTTATGGACTATTCTCTGGTGGATGTCTGGTGTGCCTGTCATCCTGATGACCCCCCCTGCTTTCACCTATGTGAGGGTGGGGGAGGAACAGGCATGCCACTCCCGGTTGGACTGGGTTTATATCTCTTTGCCTCACTTTGCCTGGGTCCAATCCTCTGGCATCTGGCCAACCCCTTTCAGTGATCGTCACCTTGTCTGGGCCCAGGCCACAATAGGGCCTGGGCATCCAGAGTCAGCCTACTGGCATTTCAATGCCAGTCTACTGGAGGATGTGGGCTTCAGGGAAGCCTTCCAGGAGTTCTGGCTGGCCTGGTGGGAGCGAGCTGGTTTCCTCTTGGCTTGGAGATGGTGGGTGTGGGGAAGGTATGCATCAAGCTGTTTTTGCTGCAGCTACACTCGGGGGGCAGATGGAGGCAGTCTAGGAGCAGGTCGAGTGGGAAGTACTGGAGCTGGAGACGCACCTGGCCACTGACCCAACCAATACATCACTCTATGGAAAGTGTCAAGAGAGGCGGGAAGAGCTTTGTGCTCTGGAAGACCACCACACCCATGGTGCATTTGTCTGCTAGCGCGTCCAACTCCTTCGGGAGATGAACCATGGCTCCCACTTCCTTTATGCCCTAGAGAGGAGATGGGGGACCAAGAAGTACATCACCTGCCTTCTGGCGGGTGATGGCACCCCCCACATAGATCCAGGTGAGATGCACTGGTGCACATGGGCCTTGTACAAAGAGTAATTCTGCCTGGATCTGACTGACACCGAAGCCTGTCAGACCCTGTCAGGCTGAGTTTTTGGCCACCTCTGCCTGATGCCTGGCAACAAGGTACCAGGCATTGACAGGCTGACTGTGGAGTTCTACCAGGCTTTCTGGGATGTCCTTGGCCCAGACTTTGCTGTGGTCTGGGCTGAATCTGAAGCAAGTGGGGAACTCCCCCTGTCATGCCAGAGGGCTGTGCTGACACTCCTACCAAAGAAGTGGGATCCCCGCAACTTAAGGAATTGGCATCCCATGTCCCTCCTCTGCCCAGACTACAAGGTGGTAGCAAAGGCCATCTCGCTGCACCTGTGGTCTGTGCTGAAGGACGTGATCCATCCCGACCAGACGTACACGGTACCCAAACATTCCATCTTCAACAACCTGTACCTGGCTCAGGACCTCCTGAAGCTACTGCACCAGGAGGGCCTATCCTTCATCCACCTATCCCTGGACCAGAAGAAGACATTTGGCACAGTGGATCACAGGTACCTCACAGGCACACTGCAGACCTTTGGCTTCAGGCCCTACCTTGTGCAAGCTCTCTAAGTTCTGAATGCCTCTGCAGAGTGTTTGGTCAAGCTCAACTGGACCGTGAAGGAACCCATCCCATTCAGGAGTGGGGTGCCTCAAGGCTGCTTGCTGTCAGGCCAGCTATATGGCTTGTCCCTAGAGCCCTTCCTTGTCCTCCAGCAGAGGCAGGAGGTGGGGTTGATGCTCCAGGACCCAACGGTGTGGCTGGTCCTGTCAACGTATGCTGACGCCGTACTCCTCACTGTCCAGGACTCAGATGACCTGGCACAGGTGGAGGCCTGCCAGGCATTGTACTGGGCAGCCTCCTCTGCCTGGGTCAATTGGGTCAAGAGCTTTGGCCTGAAGGTGGGTGATGGGTGGCAGGTGGGTCACTCCTATCTGCACTCCACAGGATCTGCTGGACCACAGGCTCACACCTTTACTTGGGGGTCTACCTGTCCCCCACACACCCCTCCCCACTGGAGAACTGACACCAGCTGGAGGCAAGGGTGGTGGAGTGGCTCTGGGCATGGGCAGGGCTCCTGAGGTGTCTCTCCCTGCATGGGAGAGTACTGGTGCTGAACCAGCTGGTCCTGTCCATGCTCTGGCACTGCTTACACACCCTGCCTGTGCCTCCTGAGGTCCTGGCAGGGCTCCAGAGATGGGTGCTAGAATTTTTCTGGCCAGGATGGCACTGGGACACTGTGGAGGTCCTGAGCCTCCCCTTGTGGGGGGGGTGGGGGGCGCAGCCAGGGCCTAGTTTGCCTGTGCAGCCAGGTCCTGGCATTCCACCTTCAGGCTCTGCAGTGGCTGCTATACAGTGTCAATAGCCATGTGGCTGGGGCCACCTGGGGCGCACTTTCCTCCACCACTTCTAGGGGCTCTGATAGGACTGGCAGCTCCTCGGCCTGTGGGGCTTCTTCCTACAGGACCTGCGAGGGCTACCGGAGTTCTACCAGGACATCCTCTGGGCCTGGAGGCTGGCCTTCACCTCCAGGTCCCCTGTGACACTTGCCCAGGGCACCAACCTGCCCATCGAGCCCCTCCTCTGGAACCCCCAGCTCAAGGTGCCAGCAGCAGAAATGCCTCAGTTGCAACACATTAGTCCTGGCTGGTATCACCCGTATCAGAGACCTCCTGAACTATGATAGGCAGGTGTGGGTGGGCCCCACTGCACTGGCCCAGCACGTGGGACTACCCACAAGACATGTGTCCTGCCATCTGGTCCAGGAGCTGAAGTCTGCCCTACCTCCCAATGCCCTTGCTCTTGCTGACCAGGTCCTACATGGTTGCAGTCCCTGCCCCCCTCCTCTATGTCCTCCAGCCCACCAGAGTTTGTTGTGGGGCCAGCACCTCACCCAGCCTTGCAGCACTCCCTGCTCCACCACCTAAGCCAGCTGGAGGACACCAGACCAGTCCGCTTTTCCATCATCTATCACCACCACCTCTACATGTTTGTGTGCCACACAATCCATCAGGCCACCATCGTGTCCCACCCATACACCAAGTGAGGGCATGGCTGGGGCACACCAGTGGCTGAGTCTGTACTCCACCCTCATCCCATGAGCCACTGGGGACCTCAGCTGGTGACTTCTCCATGGAGCCATCACCATTGGCATGTATGTGGTGAGCTTCACAGACACCTCAGTCTTCTGCCCCTTCTGCAGGTAGAGGGAGACCCTGGTGCACATGACCCTTGAGTGCGCCAGGCTGCAGCCCCTCCACCTCCACCTCCAGAACCTCCTCCTGAGGTTCTGGTTGAATTTCACCCCCCACCTTTTTGTTTTTGGTCACCCCATCTACAGCCCCACCAAGTCCTGATACCTCCTCGTCAAACTCTTCCTATCCCTGGCACCCTGTACCTGACCAGGAAGGAGGCTGTGGCCAGGAAGGTGCCCTAAGAGTGCAAGGCTGCTTTCCTCTCACTTGTCCGAGCATGTTTCTGGGCAGAGCAGCTGTGGGTGGCATCCACCATCTCCTTGGATGCCTTTGAGGACCAGTGGATGCGGCCTGGGGGGCTCTGCTCAGTGTCCCCCTCAGGTGCACTTATTTTCATGTTTTGACACTTTGACCTACATGACACTCCTCTCATGTTTTTTTCATTACTTCTCCTAAGAATTTAGTTGTTCCATTCATCCATTAGCCCCCATAAAAAGGGACTACTATGTGTGCCTTGCCCATGGTAATCGGAGGGACAAATAGACAGGAGCTTCTGGGACCTGGCCAGTTGCTACTTGGGGACACTACCCCTTGTGCCAGCTGGACTGCTAAAGCAGCCCTGAGAGTTTCCTGCACCCTCTACCCACTGCAGTAGTCTGGCAGTGGAGGCTGCTGCCTGGCTGTGACCCTGCCAGATCCAGATGGGGACTGCACAGCCAGTAGAGGCATCTGCCCCTCTGAGACAGCTGCTAGTGGACTTTGGCTGCAGAGTTGGACTTTGTGTGGCACTACTGCCATGTGTACCCCTGCCCAGCCATATGGGAAGCTATCACCCAGAAGATGTTCCCACTGTGGTGGCTTGCTTTGAACTGTCAAAGCATGTCCTCCTGACCCCATCAACCACCTCCAGATGGGTCCAAGGTGCCAGTGCTGAGCAGGCTCCTTTGCTTGGGTCCTGCCACTTGCCTCCCTAGCAGGAATTCTGGTGTTCCTTATTTGAAAACTGAAAAATCCCTGATAAAAAATCCCAATGTCACTCTGTAAAATACCCAGAAATCTATGTTCCTCCACAATTAAAACAAAAGATCACTAGAGAGAGAGAGAGAGGGAGAGAGACAGAGACAGAGACAGAGAGACAGCAATCAGTTGGGCAATGTTTTATTGATATATCTACAGTGTTAAATCAATTTGGACATCTACCAGTATCTCTATCATCATAATCGAATAAATTCTAAATACCTATATGTTTTGCTGTTTGCCTTTGGTTTTTTTACCATAGAGCAGTTAAAACTTTCCCTGACCCCTTCACTAACCTGGATGTGAGAACAGCTGTCCCTGCAGCCACAGCTCCTACCAGCAGGTCTCATCCTGTCTGGCAGCTGGGTAGACAGCATGTGTGCTGGGTGGATAGGGGGTGGGAAGAAGGGTGGGGGGATGTGGGTGGCTGTGGAGGGATGTGGGAGGGGTTGGGGTGTGTGGGTAGGTGTGGGTGGATTGTGGGGGGACTGTGCGGGGGTGCTGCTGAAGAGGAGTGGCTCCCCTGCCCCCTGCAGGGTGCAGCCTCCCCCTGCACAGCTCATAGGCTGCCCCCCCACAGGCCTACAGCCCCCCAACAAGGGCCACAGCCCCCCCAACAGGGGCCACATGGCCTCCACAGGGGCTGTGACCCCCCCTGCAGAACTCACATGCTCCAGCCCTGCTTGCACCCCCAGACCCCTCAATGGTTTTCCCACCTGGCCCCATCTCTCGCTTGCACACCCAGACCCCCTGATGGCTGTCCCACCTGGCCCCATCCCCCACCAGCTCCTGCAGCCTCCCTAATGGCTTCCCCACCCAGCCCCACCCTCTGCTTGCACCCCCAGACCCCCCAATGGCTGCCTCACCCGGCCCCCATCCCCTGCTTGCAGATCCAGACCTTTGATGGCTGCCCAGCCTCCCTTCACTTTGAAAAAAAAAAAAAGCCCTGCACTCACTGGTAGTAGCAGTGGCTGTAGAAATCACTGTGGCCTCCTGGAAGAGCCCCCTTGCACAGCACGGGACAGCAGGGAGCATCAAGGAGCAGTGGAGACTGGCCCCAGCTGCCTGGTACTCACACTGCTACTGCCCCATTCCACAGGTGCGGCCTGAGTCAGTAGGGCACTGCACAGCTCTGGCACTGGGTCAGCAGGGCACCCAGGGCCCAGCACCACTCTTCCTGAGCACCCCCAACTGCCTAACAGCATGCAGAGCCATGTGGCTCCTTGCCAACCCCAGCCACACCTGCACAATGGGACAGTGGCAGTGGCAGTATGAGTGTCAGGCGGCCTGCTGCCCCCTGCTACCCCATGCTTTGCAGCGGGGCTCTGCCAGGAGGCCCCAGTGACCCCAATGGCATCTGCTACTGCTGGTGAGTGTGGGGCTTTTTTGTTTGTTTTTTAATTGCTGGGAAGCTGGGGCTGTGCAAGGCAGTGATTGGGGGGGGCTTGGAGGGGCAGGTGGGGGATGGGGCCAGGCAGGGTAGTGATTGGGGAGGCTCAGGGGCAGGCAGGGGATGGGGCTGGCTGAGGTCCCCCCACGGTCCCCTCTCCCCTCCTCCAGCCCCCCCTCCCCTACTTACCAGCACAGAGCCCAGGTCCAGCTCCTTATAGCTGGCATGCTGCATGCCCTGCACAGGCAGGCATTGTGCTTCAGCACTGGAGTGATGGCAAGTCACACACTCTGGCTGGCTACCAGAGCATCTCTGTGGAGGACCGGAGCCTCCAGTTGCCTCAGGGCATTGTCCTGGACCATGCCCTGTCCCGCTTTTTTTGCCCAGGGTATTTTAGGACCCTTGGATATCCAGGGGTCTAATTTTGCTGCCACGCTGCAAATTTGCTACAAAAAAAATTGGGCTTTTTGTCCCATACGTGCCTCTTGTAGCATCTCAAAGGGTTTTGAGACACTGCAAGAGGCACATGCACACTCATCTGGATGCACCCTAAGAGTTTTCTAAACTCCCTGTTCTGTTCTTTCTCATAAATGTCTAATGCTGGGCCCATGCAGTCACTTTGGTAATTCAAAATCAAGTGTAAATGGCACACCACAACATGACATTGAAAGGCAGATTATCATCCTCATATTCCTCTGCCCAATTTAAGTTCAGTAAAAGCTGAAGTAACTATAGTACACATGTAGTCTAGTCCATCTCTTATAGGCTAGGTGCATTGACAAATGGAAATGGGTACAAATGCAAACATCCATTTATCTGGATTCCTTTTGGTAACAGTGATAATATGGAACCTAGTTCCAAACCCATCTAGTTTGGGGGTTAGTTTTGCAGAACCAAAGCTTAATCTTC